GCAGCAGAAACCGGCTGAAAGAGGGAGGGCTGTGTGGTAGAATATTTTGAACTGACTGAAGGATGCGCAAGGTAGTGCCCGGCTGGCACTAGCTGGCTGCTGCCAGGATAGGGCTCTTGATACGATCGTCAAAACGAACTCCCACCCTACAGCAAAGTGCTGACACACAATTGGATTGACCCATTTTGGGCCGGATGCCGGACGCTTTTAACTAGTGATGGGAACCCTGGATCTTTTAAGAGAACCAGTTCTTACGGCCAGCTGTAACACACCAAACATGGCTTTTTTGCTAGATTGGTTATCTACACTGAACAAAAATATAAACGCAACACTTTTATCTTTGCTCCCATTTTTCATGAGCTGAACTCAAACAGTTGAAACTTTTTCTACATACACCAAACACCCATGACCCTCAAATATTATTCTGAAATCTGTCTACATGTGTGTTCTCGAGCACTTTTTCTTTACCAAGATAATCCATCCCACCTCAAAGGTGTGGCAAATCAAGGGGCTGATTAGACAGCTTGAATAATGTAAAGGAGTGCCTTAGACTGCCCTTCATATTTCAAACTTTGCTAACTTTATTAATAACTCTGCTAAATAGTCATAGCCATAGTTCAAATTATTGATAAACTTGTGTTAAATCATCTAATCTGACATCTTTCCAGACATGCAGAGCCAATGCCCCTCAGGAGATGGGATTCCAGAGGATTTCAATGAGAAAGAGAAAACAGGTGAGTGACTTCCACATTCACGTGATTGTATGAGTTGTTGTGACTCCTGGTCTATCCACTAACTATATTGGCAGACATCACTTAAAGAGCAAGTCACCCCCAAATCAACTTATTTTTTGCTGATAAACTGTATCAATGAGTGTCTAATAGTGCTGTAGAAATGTGTGGTCATTATTATGGCTTTTTAGTGCATCTTATTTAGAGTTTAAAAATTCAGCCTAAGACAGTCCACCAGTCAGCAAGCTGGGTTCTCTGTCGGAAACCTACACTCACCCTTTCCCTCCGTGATTATGGGAAATGTCCGTTCTCTTCTCAATAAGATGGACAAGCTCACAGCACTGACCAGGTTGCAGCAAGACTACAGACAGTGTAGTCTGTTATTTTTTAAGGAAACGTGGACGGATGAGCTCATAGCTGACTGAGGTTTCACTGGGAGAATTTAAACTCACGTGGGCCGACAGGAGCGTGGAGTGTGAAGCGCAAGAGTGGGGGTCTGGTTGTGTTTAAAAATGAGAAATGGTGCAACCCAGCGTATGTGACCATTAAAAATAAACTCTGCACAAATGACATTGAGTTACTGGCTGTTGGTCTCCAGCCCATTACATCCCGAGAGAGTTTTCACATGTAATTGCGCCAGACGCCCCTCCCTGGGTTGCCACCTTACCGTGGTGAGAGGGTTTGTGTGTCCCAATGATCCTAGGAGCTATATTGTCTGAGGCTTATGCCTCTGGTAGGGTCACTCATGGCAAACAGGTCCTAGGTGAGGGATCAGACAAAAAGCAGCCCAATGACCCATTATGATGAATAATATAAATTGACACAGTGTTCACTCACCCGGATGTGGGTCACCGGGGCCCCACTCTGGAGCCAGGTCTGGAGGTGGGGCACGTCGGCGAGCGCCTGGTGGCTGGGCTTTCACCCAGCCCGGCCGGGCACAGCCCAAAGAGAAAAGGTGGGTCCCCCTTCCAATGGGCTCACCACTTGTGGGAAGAGCCAAAGGGGTCAGGTGCAATGTGTGATGGGTGGAAGCCGAAGGCTCAGATGCGGTCTGATCCTTGGCTACAGAAGCTGGCTCTCGGTACGTGGAATGTCACCTCGACTAGATATAGTCGGACTCACATCAATACATGGGTCTGGCTCTGGAACCAGATTCCTTGAGAGGGGCTGGACACTCTACCACTCTGGAGTTGCCCCCACTGAGAGGCGCCGAGCGGGGTGGGCATACTAGTTGCCCCCCATCTTGGTGCCTGTACATTGGGGTTTACCTTGGTGGACGAGAGGGTAGCCTCCCTCTGCCTACGTGTGGGGGGACGGGTTCTGACTGTTGTCTGTGCTTATGCACCAAACTACAGTTCAGACTACCCACCCTTTTTGGAGTCCTTGGAGGAGGTGCTGGAAAGCACTCCTTCTGGTGACTCCCTCATTCCGCTGGGGGACTTTAACGCTCACATGGGCAACGACAGTGAGACCTGGAGAGGTGTGGTGGGGAGGAACGGCCCCCCTGATCTGAATTTGAGTGGTGTTTGTTGTTGGATATCTGTGCTCGTCATGGCTTGTCTATAACTAACACAATTTTCAGACATAAAGGTGTCCATATGTGCTCTTGGCACCAGGATACCTTAGGCCGCAGCTCGATGATCGACTTTGTTGACATTTCATCTAATCTGCAACCGCATGTCTTGGACACTCGGGTAAAGAGAGAGGCGGAGCTGTCAACTGACCACTACCTGGTGGTGAGTTGGCTTTGATGGTGGGGGAAGATGCCGGTCAGACCTGGCAGGCCCAAAGGTATTGTGAGGGTCTTCTGGGAACGTCTGGCAGAGTCTCCTGTCAGAAGAAGTTTAAATTCTCACCTCGGACAGAACTTCCAAAATGTTCTGGGGGAGGCGGGGGACATGGAGTCCGAGTGAGCCATGTTCCGTGCTTTCATTGTCGAGGTGGCTGACCGGAGCTACGGCCGCAGGGTTGTTGGTGTCTGTCGTGGTGGCAACCCCCAAACCCACTGGTGGACACCAACGGTTAGGGATGCCGTCAAGCTGAAGATAAAGAGTCCTATAGGGTCTGTTTGGCCTGTGGGACTCCAGAGGCAGCTGATGGGTACCGGCAGGCCAAACGGAATGCGGCCCAGGTTGTCACAGCATGCTGCATAGTGTTGGAACCCAAGTTTTTTTCATTTTTATTCGTGTTTTTTTAGTGGTCGAAGGTTACATTACTAGATTACTGCCTATATGTATATACATGTACCTATATCATAATTTTCTTCTGATTATCCCCTTAAGTGTTGGTGCTGCTGTAACAAGTGAATTTCCCCACTGTGGGATCAATAAAGTGTATTCTATTCTATTCTTCCTAAAGGATTATTAGGAACACCATACTAATACGGTGTTTGACCCCCTTTTGCCTTCAGAACCGTCTTAATTCGACGTGGCAGTAGCCACATTTACATGCGCATATTTCATCAGATTGAACGCCCAATCAGATAAAAAATTCTGCATGTAAACATGTCAATCAAATATTCTGATCCGATTTGGCCCGATCGGATTGAAATTTCAATTCGATTGAGGGAGGTGGTTTTGTCCGATCATCATTCTGATTGACGTGCATGTACACAGCTATTCGGATTGTTGGGGTAAAATAATGCCCACTGCGCATGTGTGCAACAGCGAGCGGGCCTCTCCGCTGTCATTTGGACTGCCTGACTTCAAAAATGACAGCGTAATCAATGAGCAGAGGCTTTTAAATTTGATAACAAGCCGTCCCGTTTCAGTAATATTTAATTCAGAACTTGCATTTTGTAGAAGTAAAATAAAAATCTGATTATTGCACAAATCACTCGACAAACATTTTCAAATCTGTACTGGAAATACCCAAGTTTATTGCGGAGGTTGCAGCGCACAGATCCCCGTTTCTGTCAGCTTTGAACGCAGCAACTTCTGCAGCAGGTGACGGAGACGCCAGAGACGCTTGTAAAGAAGACAGGATAATATCAGTTTTACAGACCTGATTGGAGGCTGATGTTGGGTAGGAAAACATCCTCGGTTAAATATTCTGGACAACAGTAAAGTCCGTGTTAAAAGCACATTAACGCAGATGACCTGAGATGCGGTTCGTTAATGATGAACACAGGCTTCTAAACTTTCTGAACGTCTTCTGTTGTTTTATTTTAAACAGATTTTTCTCAACAGTTTCAGCTGATTGTCACATGTTAAGAATAATAAGCCACAACAGAGCTCAGTAATAAAACATGAGTCTAAACGCCCCCATCCCCACTCTGCGCCACAGTGCAGCGCAACGGCATATCTGTCACTTCAGACCCACGGACCAGCTGATCAAGAGGCAGAAACATAACCCTCCCTTATTTTAATCAACAATAAAAATGCAGCAAAGCATAGATCTGCAGTTATTCACTGAAGAAAACGTAACTTCTATGAGCAAAATAAAAATATTGAAGTGAATAAATGAATCGGGAAAGCAGGAAGAATTGTTATTTCTGTTTTTACATTTTTCATTTCGTTTCATGGTGTTTGTTTACAATTTTTCTTCCGGGAAAGGCAACTTTCTGCGCATGCTCAACCTATTTAATCGGATTAAATGCTTGATGCATTTATAAGCACGGCATGATCAGATCATTTCAGTTTGTGTCCATGTGAACAGTGATTCAGAAATTCCGATCAACCAAGATTTGAATTGGATTGAGGAAATTTGGTGCATGTAAACATGGCTACTGAGTCAACAAGTTGCTGAAAGCATTCTTTAGAAATGTTTGCTCATATTTATAGGATAGCATCTTGCAGTTGATGGAGATGTGTGGGATGCACATCCAGGGCACGAAGCTCCCGTTCCACCACATCCCACAGATGCTCTATCGGGTTTAGATCTGCTGACTGTGGGGGCCATTGTAGTACAGTGAACTCATTGCCATGTTCAAGAAACCAATTTCAAAAGATTGGAGCTTTATGACATGGTGCATTATCCTGCTGGAAGTAGCCATCAGAGGATGGGTACATGGTGGTCATGAAGGTATGGACATGGTCAGAAACAATGCTCAGGTAGCCTGTGGCATTTAAACCATGCCCAATGGGCACTAAGGGGCCTAAAGTGTACCAAGAAAACATCCCCCACACCATGACACCACCACCACCAGCCTGCACAGTGGTAACAAGGCATGATGGATCCATGTTCTCATTCTGTTTACACCAAATTCTGACTACCATTTGAATGTCTCAACAGAAATCCAGACTCATCAGACCAGCAACATATTTCCAGTCTTCAACCATCATATTTTGGTGATCTTGTGCAAATTGTAGCCTCTTTTTCCTATTTGTAGTGGAGATGAGTGGTGCCCCGTGGGGTCTTCTGCTGCTGTAGCCCATCCACCTCAAGGTTGTGCATGTTGTGGCTTCACAAATGCTTTGCTGCATTCCTCGGTTGTAACGAGTCACTTCAGATATTAAATAAATAAATATCATAATAATAATAATAATATACGGAATATTAAACATTGAACTAAACTGAATACGAGTTCAACGTACCATTACACCCCTAGTAATGATTGTGGGTTGAGACACCTGAATCAGAATGCGAAAACAGTATGACTCAGTGGATTTAAAAATACACACAGATGATGGAAAAAATCAGAGTATGGGGAAGCTGGCAACTCCTCCTTTTGTTGCATTTTTAAAATGGGAAGTGTGGGTGAAGTTATACTCTGGGGTGACTTGCTCTTTAAGGAAATTATTACTGTTATGTCTATAGCTTGACATTAGATCTATTTTTCTTTTCTTTGCAGCATCTTTCAAAAGATAAAAGCTGAGAAACAAAAGCAATGGGCTCGACCAAAGTTCTGAAGGTCAGTCAATGATCAATGGCTTACTGAGATTGGCGTGCCTCCGTTTCTTTTTATAATGCTTTAAGTGGATTTTTTTTTCATAAATTTCATATCACTCTAGATGAACCCACCTTGTGCACCCAAAGGCCTACAGGGAAATCAAAGAAGAAGCAGACCAACAAAGGAACACCCACCCATTCCCCTTCCCTGCTCACTGTCCATGGTTTTACTCAAGGTTTGGTTCAGATTTTCAAATATTTAAGTAACTGAAAATGGCTAACATGCAATTCATTCTCCCCATAAAAGACTGAAAGAGATTACCTTAAAAAAAGAAACTGAGGTTTGACATTTTACAACAAGTATGAACAACTTAACTACTTAGGGGCAGCAGTAGCTCAGGAGGTAGAGAGGATTGTCCAGAAACCGGAAGGTTGCAGGTTTGATCCCAGCTCCAACCAGAGAGTGCTGCTGTCGTGGCCTGCTGAACACTGGCGCCACCGGTCCCTCTGACCACCACCAGCAGGCAAAGCGAGTTAAGTGCCTTGCCCAAGGAAACAACAGCAGCAGATTGTGTTGTGAAGCGCCTTGGGGGCCTTAGAAGGCGCTATACCTATACAGGCCATTTATTCCCATTAATTTCACATTGTTGTCCTTATTATAAATACAGAAATGTATTTGGGATGTTTGAGTTCACATAAACCTTTATAGAAAGATGGAAGTTCATCAAATCATTACCATATTAACATTTTAGGCACAAAGATACTTGACTTCAGTTTTCCTTCAGTTAGATGCTAAACTTTTTCTGTTTATCAACAACAATTATAGATCTGTTGATACATTTCCTAGCTACAGTTCAGAGTCTAAAAAAACCTTGTATTAAGCCATATAATCTAAAATGTTTTTGTAGATCATCCAGATATGATGAGCCAAGAACCTTCAGGAGCTGAGTGGTCTAAGGAGTCAAATGGAAAGGACAAAACAGGTGCGTGGTTTCCACATTCACACACACGGACAGAGATGTTTTGCTTTCGGACTTCTCAGTCTCCTGGGGAGTGTTGTAAAGCAGTTCCCCGCCAGGACAACAGGGCGTAGCACTGCTCTGTGTTATCCTGCCCAAGATAGTGCATTTAATATTATATAATAAACACAGAAACTGTGCAAATAACAAAAGTCAGCAGGGATAAAAAAGCTGTTTACTTGGTTTGTGGTGATCTTGGTAGTTATAAAGTTTAACAGCTGCAGAAAGGAAGGATTAATGACAAAATGCCTTCATACACCTAGAATGCGTAAGTCTGCTACTGAAGGAACTCTCCAGCTCCGTTGTCAGCTTCACGCTTGGGATGGGAAACATTGTCTAACCCCCAAATTCCACTACCTCCGCTCCGACACGAACGCCGGAGCAAAATCGGTCCCGTTGTAGTCAATCAGAGCAATTCCACTACTGCGGCTGTGCTCCGGCAGTGCGGCGCCGTGCGCCGTCCTCTGTTCCGGCGTCCGGCAAAAATAGAATCGATCCTATTTTCGCCGGAGCACCTCCGCAGTCAATGGACAGAAATCACCATCGCCCAACAGGAAAAGGAGCAAGCACAACTTCCGTTTTTCACAATAAATCGATAAACAAAAGGCGTTTTTTGTTTCATATGCACAGGTTTAACAACTTTTAACAACTATCAGTGGCGGCTGAAGTTTAAATGCACAAAAGTTAGCCATAAATACAGTTTTCACTATCAAAGTAGTCACACTTTGTTGATCCAAACACTGCTGATCTCTACACAAATGATGGGCAGATTAAACAGTTCATGCCGATGCTTCTCCAACACAACGGGTGTTTGGATCTAACTTCCGCGTTTATTGCTCGGACTGTATCGCAAGATCTTGAAAATCCCGCGCATGCTTGTTTGCCCACCTCAGGTCTCCGCACCGGAGCGGAGCCGTTGTAGAGCGCATACCGGTAAAAATTGAGTTCGGAAGCGAGCGGCTGCGGAAGGCGGGGGCGGACCGCAGCGGAGCGGAGCGGAGGTAGTGGAATTTGGGGGTTACAGACGTTTGAAAAACTTGTAGTAAGTAATTTAATTTCAAATATTTCTGTAGGTCCAACCACGCTGAACCAAGGTCCTTCAGGAACTGGAATCTAAGCCCAGATATAAGCCCAGTAGCTATGTATTTGTGTTTATAAATGTAGGTGTCTTTTTGGGGTTGCTGCGTGATGTTCTTGTGCATTGCAGCAGCGCCATGCAGCAGTTTGTTGTCGTAATGTAGTCCCCGGTCTAAAATAACTCCTGTATTCCTTCCTGTTATTTCATTTGCAGGCTGTGATTATTGAGGTCACCAAAAAATAGGATCCTTACAGAGTATTTTTCATCACTTTTTAATATGAAATGCTAGCTAAAGCTAACCAAATATTGCCATCTTAGGAAATTGACTGGGCTGGTTAGAAAAGGGGTTTTCCCACTGATCCAAGTCTGTAACCTTGCACTGCAAGATGAATTTTTGCAAGATTTGGAGTTTTCTGGATGGACCGGACACGGATTGAGCTGTGAGCTCCCGGCTGCTGAGTTTTGTGTGTAGGGAGGGGCGGGTGCTCTATTTGACTGGCCAATCACAGAGCGTGAAGACAGTCAGTTACCCAATGAGGATTTTCCTTCAGCACGATTACAGATATTTACGATTTTTACTCGTTTCACTTGTCAAAAATGCTTTATCCGTACCGGATACTCTTCTGAAACGAGTATCCGGCTCATCCCTAATCCAAACAGTCAGAATTGAAAACACAACCTAAACATGATGTCATGACTTTAACTAATAAAAGCATGTTTCTTTTTTTTTTTTTGTTACAGACATGGATCAACAGGATTTAACCTCTAAGAAATTCAACCGAAAGATTTGGAGCAAATCTGGGAAAGAAGCGGTTTGGCAACAGCTTGGTCGGTACATCACTCTTGAAAGAGTTCCTGGTAAAATGCTGTGTGTGAAAGCACTCAGTACAGAGACAGCACTTTAGAACAGAAGTTGGAAAGATGTAAAAAACTGCATCTATAACCACATCCCTGATCAAAAAAGAAAAAGGCTGTAGTTTTTGCGTTAAAAGCAGCAGGAGCTGAGTTAATGCATGTAATGTTACAAGCAGAGCATTTAATGATACCTAGTTATTTTTATTTTATGAGACATTGGAAATATGTTAAAAACTATAATTATAACAGCATTGCAGATCAAAAATGTTACAAGCAGAGCATTTTATGGTACCTAAAGATATTTAAATTTTATTACATGTTGGAAAGATGTTAAAAACTATAAGTAGAACAGCATCACAGTAGCATTGCAGGGATTAATCGTTTTGACTATTAACCCTGGTTAACCCCAAGTAAATAGATCTTCAACACCATCAAACTAAAACAAAAAGACAATAGCGTAACTCGTAAGTACAAAAACAAAACTGAAACTGAACACGCGCCCGCAGCAGAAGCATGATCAGTGAAAACAACCATCGGGACTCCTCCATTTCTACCTCGGAAGAGGTTGAATTCTCCTGTGTGGGAATAGTTTAGATATATTAGATATCATCCCACACAGGAGACTTCAACCGCTTCTTAGGTGGAAATGGAGGAGTCCCGAAGGTTGTTGTCACTGGTTCTGCTTCTGCTGCGTGAGCACGTTCAGTTTCACTTTTGTCTTTGTCCATGAGGGTCATGCCATAGTCCTTTTTTTATTGTTGGTGTGGTAGACATCTTTAAGGGGGGTTATCAGGGGTTAATAGTCAAACTGGTTAATCTCTGCAAGCCTACTTCACAGCTCAAAAAAGAAAAAAAACTGTAGTTGATATGTTTTATTTTAAAAGCAGCAGAAGCTGAGTTAATGCATGCAATGTTAAATGCAGAGCATTTAATGGTACCTAAAGTTGTATTAATTTATTAGAAGTTAGAAATATGTCAGAACTACTAGTAGAGCAGCATCACAGCTCAAAAAGAAAATAAAAACAATATTTGAAAATTTTCTTTTTCAAAGCAGAAGGATCTGAGTTCATTTATGTAATTTTATGCACCGTGTTTACTTTATTTGGTATCTAAAATTTATATTTTATCAGCAGATGAATTAGAAAGATTTTAAAAACTGCATGTATAACTGCATTTTAGCTCAAAAAAGAAAAAAGTAAACATATTCAATTTTAAAAGAAACAGGAGCTGAGTTCATATATGTATGTAATGTTTAAAGGTGCCTAAAGTTTATTTTAGTTCAACTGTTGCAGTCACAATTGCAAAGTTTAATGAAATCCTTTTTACTTCAATAAAATAACTACTTTGTAGTAATTTCTGTCATGTTTCCTGTTATTTATGTTCTGTAACTAAGATTTACAGGGAGCTGCACGGCTGAATGCAGTTTGAATCCAGCTTAGTCTTTATGGTGGTTGCATATTTTTCCTATGTATGTCTGGGTTCCTCCAGGATAATTTGATACCTTTCACCATCCAAAATCATTCTATGTTTATTAGTCGATGAGCCGATACCAATATTTGATATTAATATCACTGCTTCTGCAGTACTGCAGACGTTGTACCGATCTGTCGTGGTGAAGAGAGAGCTGAGCCAGAAGGCAAAGCTCTTGATTTACCGGTCGATCTATGTTCCTACCCTCACCTATGGTCATGAGTTTAGGGTAGTGACTGAAAGAACGAGATTGCAGATACAAATGGCCAAAAATAGTTTTCTCCGCAGGGTGGCTGGGCTCTCCCTTAGAGACCCGCTGCTCCTCCACATCGAGTGGAGCCAGTTGAGGTGGCTAGGGCTTCTGGTTAGGATGCTTCCTGGACGCCTCCCTGGTGAGGTTTTCCGGGCACGTCCAACCGGGAGAAGGCCTAAAGGAAGACCCAGGACACGCTGGAGATACTATGTCTCATGGCTGGCCAGGGAACGCTTTGGGATTCCCCCGGAGGAGCCGGCCCAAGTGGCTGGGGAGAGGGAAGTCTGGGCTCCCTTGTTTAGGCTACTGCCCCCACGACCCAACCCCGGATAAGCGGACGACAATGGATGGATGGATGGATGATATCACTGTTATGGCCGATAGCTGATATTTGCTGATACAGATATACTGACATGCTTCTAAAATAAGCAAATTTTGTACTGATTGAAAATTATTAAAGCTGAATTTACGTTGTTATGTACACACACCACACACATTTACGCTTATGAGAATATTAAAATAACTGTCACATGGCTAAACAAATACACACCACCCCCCTAACCATCTGAAACAGATAAACAAATGGAAACAAAATGGAAAAAAAATATTTGTTGTTAATATTGACCAAGTTTTATTTATCGGACCAATACCAATATGTTAAAAATAACTTATTGATGCAGATTGTGCATCCCTAATGTTGATGATTGTCTGTCCTTTTAGTTTGCAGCATTTGTGTGGTGCCTCGATGAACTGTTACCTGCTCAGACTTCACCGCACAACTTGGAATAGGGAATTACAGAAAAAATCCTTATCTAATATTATTTAAGCTAAATCCTGGTGAAGGTTCTCCGAAATGCAGTTTGTGTTATTCCTTGTAGATTTGGGTTGAGGCAACTGAGTTGTTTTGGTTATTTGAATATGTTTCACTTCTTATTTGAGGAGCTTTGTCAATTCTGACCAGAATAAGGAGAGGGATAAGCTCCAAAATCACACTACAATACTTGGGCTTGATGCTCCACTCATTCCACTTTAATATTACAAAGCTCTTTGGATTAGAAGCAAAACATTTTGAAAGTATAAAGAAAATCTAGCAACTTACACACTCAAACAAGAAAATAATTAAGCTAATATATTTTATTTTTTCTTAAGAAAAACTAAACAAAAATTTTAAACTGATAGAGTATTTTATAGGCAAACATTAAAAGCTTCTCTGTGATTCAAGATGTTAAAATTTTACTTTGCTATTGCCAATTTGATAATAAACAAGTGTTACATATTTGTAAAAACAGTTTGATTAGTTAAAATTGCTTTGAAAGTTTAAGAATTTTTAATTTTTCATGTGGAAATTTAATCAAAAATTGGTTAGGGAGGAAATACAGAATTGTGAGGACATCACCTAATCTGCCTAGCAACGGTTGTGGGTCCTCACAAGTACACCAAATAAATATTTTTTTTACTTTGATTTATCAACAATTTGAAGTGAGATTCTGACTCTTCACTCACATCTAGTGTCAGATTTTCATGGCCCAACACTACAGCTATGCAGGAAGTGGAAGTCCTCACAAAGATAGGTAGGGTCAGTGTCCTCACAAGTATATATATACATGTATGTGTGTGTGTGTGTGTGTGTGCACTTGTGTGCGCGTGTGCTAAACCCCGGATCTTCTTTAGTCCTAAATCCGCCCCTGTTTATAGAGATCATAAACAATTAATATACCTGCACAAAGCTCTTTGAACAAGTTCAGTCTGGAGAAACAGGTTAGCTTCAACCTGACTGGTGAGCTAACGGCTAGTCTTACCCCAATCCGTACTGGAGGCATCAGCATGGAACAGCAGCAGAATGGCTTTGGTTCAAATAGAATCCACGATAGCAGTGGTTTTCAATGCTGGTCCTGGAGGGCCGGTTCCTCTGCTCCAACACACTTGATCGGGTGGTTGAATGACCTGTGCAGCAGCTCATCAGGCTCTGCAGAAGCCTGTTAACCACCTCCTGATTGGAATCAGCTGTTTTAAAACACTGAGCTATTTTTACTGCATGCCGCTTCTGAGATCAACGCAATAGACTTTATGTAGATAAAATCACACATTTTTACAAGGAAATAAATCTGAAATTATGTGACAGACATAATCAATTATTTATCATTTAATCTGAGGTACAGCATGGCTGTGTCAAGATCTGCCCCTGCCTTCCTGACTGTGTTCCTCTCCTGCCCTGATTAGCCCTTATTGTTCTCACCTGCCCCTTGTTAACCTGCCCATGTGTTCCTGATTTCCCTGTGTATTTATACCTCCCTCCTTGTGCCAGTCTTTGTCAGATCATTGTTGTTTGTCGTGTTGTTCTCGTTGTTCCTGCCGTATCCTGTCATTAAACCCATTTTTACTTTATCCGTGCCTGCATTCCTGCCTCCTGGTCATCTCCACCACACTTGGTCCATCATCTCCACCATCACAGCATGACAGGCTGTGATTCAGGGTGTAAGGCAAAGCAGACCAGTAAATAACTTTGACCCAGAAGGGGAGAAGACTTAGGGCCATGCTGTACTTGTTTAATGCCGCGTTGGCACAGGCACCAGGCTCCATCTGTGTCAGCCGTTGTGCTCTTGGGCCAGACGCTTCATCCTCCTTGCTTGCTGGTGGTTGGAGGGAACAGTGGTGGTGGATTTCAAATCACTTTACACAAGTGATTGTTTCAACACATCCTCCCATTCCCCCACTGTAACTAGCTGTTTGCTCATCAAACCTGTCAGATCTTTCTTTCTCCAAACTGAGGTTGTTCAGTGAGAATGTAGGATATTATTTTTGATTAAATCCTTTCAAGGGAAATCAACTTCATATGTGAATCGGAGTCTCAGGGACAACAGTTGTTTTTCTGACCCAACAGGGCCAGAACTCCTGCTTTAGGTTGTTTCATGCAGATAAAGAAACCGTAAATACACAAATGATGAAATTAAGAACAGAAATCATAAATGCAGCGATGTGCAGAACTCTTTTTAGATTGCATGTGTGTGTTTTATAATAAATAAGATCTAAAGTTGTGCAGATTATTAGTTGATGAAGTTCGATCAATACAAGACACTGCTTGGTGCACAAATCGCTATGGGTTCGTTTTTTTATTTTGGATTGAAGATTATTTTTTTGAAAGGAAAAATAATGGAAGTTTGGACTCTGCTTGAAGTGTGGGCGTTTGGAGATAGAAAAATAATATTTGTGCTTAAAGCAGCACAATTTTATTATTATTTATTCATGCCATGTCAAATTCAAAGTATGCTGTGTCATATTCAAATGATCCCACGGTTCATCAGCCTCCCCCGCCACATCGGGTTAGTAGAACACCCACGGACCGGTGTGAGGACGGATATTAATCACCACACATGGGAACTTCCTGTCAGATTCAATGTGAAGTTTATTAATCATTGTTCAAACATTCTGAAGTCCTTTTAAGTGTCAGACAATGATCAGCATGAAATGGATGCATGGACGTAGTTTTGATTTTAGAAGTGGGGGGCCACAACCAGCATGAGGACCTGGGGGTGGGGTGGGGGGTGGGCAGAACTGTCAAGTACACAGGTGGCAGGAACGGCCAATCACACGTTAGCAAGTATCAGCAGAGCCAATAGATGAGCTGATGGATGGTTTTAATGGGAAACAGGCTTCAACACAAGTGGTTTTCTGCTTGGTCCTGGTACTCAACCAGTGTCTAATTAATACAGCGTCATTTGTTTTTGGACAGTAAAACGTGCAAGGGACAAAAATTGACTTTGTCCATGAATGGATGATAGATGGAAGGGACTGAATTAGGTTTGTTTTAAGTATCTTTTTTTTCTGCCTTCGTGTTTCATGATTTAGTGTTTTCCGCATCCCTGTTGTCCAGTCCTCCACCTCTGTCATTTCAGTCTCATTCTTCTATTCTTCTTCAGCTTCTGTCTAGACCGCTTATAGGAAATCCTGCCAGCATGGACCTCCTCACCGCAGGAGAATCTGAATGTAAAATGCTGGTGCTGTATGTATGTGGGAAGTAGTCACCACTTTGACAGCACTCAGTCAGAGGTCAGGAAAGGGACCGACAGATATACTTTCCACGAGAGGTGACTCAAAGAGCTGCACGACTCCTGCAGACATCTTCTTCCTGCATCAGCAAAGTGACACAAGATGAAGACTCCAGGAAGACATTTTATTTATCTGCATGTACGCACAGTTTGTCCTCACTGATGCTTATTTTTCAGCTGTATGTAATTTATGCATGCATGAGTCACACTACCTAATCCCACTAGCACATTAGACAATCATGATACTATTTCTCCACAACCCAGTTAGATATGACAATATTACAAAAGTATTTTATATGCCTCTAAACCTCCTGATCTAGAATCCTCAGTCTGTGTGCTCCATCCACTTTAATTTTTGAATTGCCTTGAGTTGTTTTGTAACTCATTAATAAAATTTTACTAAAATTTTTATTTTATTTATTTATTTTTTGTAGTATCTATGTTCTACTTAAGAATTTAAAGTTTTCGGGTTGACTGCAATGTGATTCTGGGAGACAGAAAAAAGGATTATATTTATTCTAATAAATTCCCTAAGTACTAAGAATGAATACGATTTACAGCTAGGGTGATTTTAATTGTTTTTTTTAGCAATTTAAGTGTTATTTTTTCAAGTAATTTTATAATTTATTATTATTTTCAGACTTATTAGCTCTTAATAAAGAAACATGTTGGACATTCATTGAGTGCTAGTGTAAAAAATTGACATAAATATTTGCAGTAAAATCTCCAGTGAGCATTTTTAGATTGGAAAAGAGGATTTTTGAATATAGATGTAGAAGTTTAAATGATGTATTTAGTACAGTGAAACTCCAAAAATTTGAATGTGGTGCAAAAGTCTGTTTATTTCAGTAACTCAGTTTGAACTGAGA